CCCCATGTTAACTAAGAAAGAATATAATGATTAATAACAATGTCTTGTCTTTCTGAATAAGGTAGGAAAGCTCAGGAAATGCCACCAAAAAGCACAGAAGACAGTTCTGTTATGTGATCAAGATTTTTAGTGGCTTCCCAGAAATCCTTGAAATCATGGCTCTATATTTCACCATCACACCATCTTACACCTCGATCTGCTGATGTGATCCTATTTCCAGCTGAAACGATTAAATAGTTCGCAATTTACCTCACATACATGTTCGATTATTTTCATTAGTAACAGCATTCCGAAAAAATAACTGAGGAGTTCCGCTTTTAGGCTCGGCTAAATCTATATATTATTATATTGCATCAAGCTGGGAAGCTACTCTCTATAGTTGACTCAACTAGAAGGTGCACATTGTTTTAAGGCTGCAGGTATCATAAAACTTAACAGGGCAGAGATTAGTTTATTACGTTAATTTTCCAATCAACCTACAAACGTCAGAACTCAATTCCACTTGGTTACCTAAACTAAATAATGACTGAATCTATCAGGCCACTATGGGAGATGATGCTGAGTGTTTTTTAGTTCCTAAAATCCTCACTTTCAAAGCGACCCTTCATGTGCAACCGTTGTTGTCAAAATGAGACTTCCATAACAAAGATTGACCAATAACCCTTATCTTGAAAATAAGAATTGCAGGAGCTCCAAAATGTATGCTAGTTATCTTGTTCTATTTTTGACAGGAACAATATAGAAAACTATCTAAACTGTATCACATATTAGCTCAAGTAATAGCTTCCCATCAAAGCAGCTCAATTTCGTAAGCCACACATGTACGCATTGCGGACCTATTTTTAAAAATGACGTAAGTCAACTAACANAGCATTCCGAAAAAATAACTGAGGAGTTCCGCTTTTAGGCTCGGCTAAATCTATATATTATTTGTCAACTGCTTCCATCTTCCTGTCACTTGACACTGACATGTTTCCTCTATTTGGAATTAATTCATGGTTTATTCCAGTTTGAGCATTTTTCATTTCATCATCGTTTTTCAGTTAAATTTCCGCCGAATAGTGAATGCCAAGGTGGCTGATCAGACATGGTGGTCTTAATTTTTTTATGTGACATACATTGAGTCATGGTTAGCCAAAAGTATTCAATCTTCTAGAGAAAGCCAAAGGATAAAAAAACAACAATTTTGACCAGTTTTATTGTAACTGAAACCTAACGGAGGGGTTCCTTCCACCCCCTTCCCCCTGGTCCCTTCCCCTTGTTCCACGGTGGGATTGTGAGTTTGCATATACGTCTGAGGGCTCATTATAGGCTCTTAGCGCTGAAAAGAGATAGGGAGTACACAGAATAATAATATTTGTTATTATTACCATTTTAAGGTTTCTGCCGACGTCTTAAGTTTTCGCCACCCGTCGATGGGTATGTGCTGCTGTGTCACGTGATTAAAAATATTTCTTTAAACATATACTTGGTGGAAAACATACCAAGTCGCTGTAACAATTATTGTACCATGGAAAGTAAATGTGTATCCTTCAACATTGGTCCGCCAATTAAAGACACTGTCCTCTGTCAACTGAATGACGCTGACCACATACAGCATCCTCAAGATCTTCAGGCCAGGGAAGGGTTCATGTATAGAGGCACTGAGGTGAGGAAGCCAAACTGACCTCTGTATATATATTTAGAAAATAGCCCAAAGAAAATGTGCGCGCTGATTGGTTTAAAATCGTGTCTATTTAACCATTGGATTATTCGCTGTCGATTTTTATGAGGTGATAGTTGATGAATCAACTATCGCCTCATAGAAATCGACAGCGAATAATCTATTTGTTTTAGTAGAATTCTAAGTAAAAGTAACGCAAATAACGGTTTCAAGCTATTTCTTCACCTATTATTAAACTTCGCGCTGTAGCAAAATCGCCCAAAGACTAAATTTCATTGTAAATTTGCCGTTGTTTACGCGCGCGCACCCTTCTTTCAGTATTTACGAGTTTTTAAATTCAAGAAACCGGAAATGTCCTTCTTTTAGTCTTCTCACGAACTTTATGATCCATTTGCGTCTAAACTTTTCTCGAAAACGTCGGGAAAACGGGAAAACCTCGCCATTTCGTAGACGTCTGACAGACACTGCACTCTAATTAAACAATAGAGTGTTTCTGTTGAAGAACTATCGGCTGATAGTTGCCACACGGAAATTTGCCCGAGAAGCGAAGCTTTGAGGGCAAATATGCTAGTTTTGAAAACATCAAATTTCCAAGGGGTAACTATCAGACCGATAGTTCCGAGACAGAAACATTCTGTTGTCTTTGTTGTTCACTGCTAAATTTTCCTCCGCGCCCTAGTTCAAAAATCAACTTTTTTAAAATGAAAGCCGTGAAAGCCAAATGTAAAATTTGAAAAAGAAAACAGACAAAAAACTACTTAATACAATTTCAATTGTTTATTTTCTATAAGTCCGCTTGTTTACAGAAAAATTTTCACGGACGAGTACTATCCATCCGGGTATTTTCCTTAGACGGACACCATATAAACAATAGCCTCCATTTGGCGCGAAAATATGCTAGGACATTTGTCCGCGGACATTATCTGTTCAGAGAAGCGAACAGTTTTCCGAGAGCATAGCTCGAGGAAAACTGTGAGCTTCAAGGAACAGATAATGTTCATGGAGGCTATTGTGTTTATAATCCTTCAAATCTTTTACGCAACGCGCGCAGTTTTGAAAATTGGGGAATATTCTCGGATATTCCCCGGTTTTAACAGGGGAATATTCGGTCACGTGACATGTTTAGAGCAATCGCGAGCGAGCGAAAGTGTCTGATGGATTACTGAGGGCTGATAGTGTTTCTCGCGGATGAACACTATCGCGTCACGTGATCAATTTAAACCAATAAGAATCGGAGAAAATTTAGTGGTGAACTTTAATGGCTGATAGTGTACGAGTAATTCAGCCAATAAGATTGAAACATTTGCAATGGTATACTATTAGAATTCTACTAGTGGCTGATAGTATACGAGTAGCTCAGCCAATCAGATTGCAGCATTTGCATTAGTATACTAGCAGAATTCTTCTAAACTCGCCTAGCAGGAGCTGCTGACGTAATGAGGGCGCGAGGGAAGAAAATTTACATTTTGATGATCAAAATAAACAAGTTGTTTCTCGTCTGTTGGCTCGTATTCCCACGGCATTTCTCGTTCTGCTAGGGTCTCCTAAACTTCCACTCGTGTTTCTATAACTCGGTAGAAACACGGTACATGCTTTCTATTTCTTAAATATTTTTTCGGTTTTGACTCAAGGTAATTTAGCAAAACGTTTTGCTTAAAATTGAAACGTTTTATATTGATTTCTTCTTCTCAGAACCCATGTTCTAGTAACCCATGCCTTCACAATGCGACCTGTCTGAATGGATTTACAGCCAGTGGATACGTTTGTAAATGTCAAGTTTGTTACACAGGGCAGAAATGCAAGACGGATAAGGACACTATAATATTTCCGTTTACACGCGTTTAAGACAATAACTGAGTTACATGATTCTTTTCAAGACGTACCAACTTGATTTCACTTTGTGAAACCTGAATCGTGAATTTCTTTTATACCAAGTCTCACTTTGTCGACTCGACTATTCCGGAAGTCGACCCGTGTCGACTCGTCCCGACTCGACGACATTTTGCCCCCCTCCACATCGCCAAGTCCCCCTCCAAGTCTCACTCTTTCGACTCGACTCGTCGCGACTTGACGACATTTTACTACCCTCCTTCACTTCGCCTTCAAGGCACTTTTATGGCCCGCTGATTGGCCAGAAAAATATTTTTCTGTCCAATCAGCGGGACGGAATTCAAACACTTCTGGAACTACTTCGGTAAGAGTAAGTTCCCAGGGGCTCTCCAGCTCTTGAAGTAGACTTTCCCCTAGAACTATCGCAACGCCCCGACTAGCTGCCCCTGGGTCTCCGAGGATGGGTTACACCCAGCGCAAAAATCTCCGATAACCATTCATTCGCCTTGGTGGCGAGAGGCACTGCGAGAGTACAGTGTCTAACCTAACTACACAACTCAGTGTCCTCTCCCTGACTTGAACCCGGACCGCTCGATCCAAAGTTCAAAGTGCTAACCACTAGCCCACCGCGCCTACAACACAGATCAGGTTAATAATCAGCATTTGTGAAATTATTTAAAATTTTTCAATCATCAACACATGTGCGCATTACGAACCTATGTTATCGTTATATTGACATCCACTTGTACCAGTATCCTTCCATTGCAGATGTGGATGAGTGTGTTAACGACTTACATGCCTGTGACGTCAACAACTACTGCAGCAATACTGTGGGATCCTACATTTGCAAGAGTCACCGTGAGTTTGATATACTTAACTAGATGCTAATAAAACTCAGTCCTCAGTTTCTGTGTAGGAGTAAGTCTTTCAAGCCTTTGGCATCAAGGAAGATTCTGCTTCTTGTTTCTGTTGCATATATTGACAAAGAATTAATTTCTTTGAGGGTGTTATGACAACAGCCCTTATGCATGATGACGTCAGACTAGCTAATCTCACCAACAAACCTCTCTTTTGAAGAACAAAAAGCAGCAAAAATGTAAATACGTAAATAATGCCCTCTTAACCACAGCATGAAGGTGCCAGAGATTTGAGTAAATATTTCTACATAGCGAGGCTTCGGTGTGAATTTTGAGCATCTGACGTATTCATGCATAAATGCATTAGGCCTATCCTTCGGTACAATTTTATAGTCTTTGCTGAGCAAGGCATTACAGCAACAAGAAATAAGCTTTATAACTATTACGTTCAATCAGTATGCATTTTGAAAATTTACACTTTAGAAATGAGAAATGGTGCTTGTAAAATTTGATTCGGATTAGTTCTTTACTGTGAAACGTCTTCAGTGGTTAACGACCCATGTCGAAGCATGTTCTTTTTCGTAAGACCACTCGCATCAGTAAGATGACACAAGAACCCCCAGACACCCTTAGTTCAAGCAATTCTTCAGCTATTGAAAACAAAATCACTGCACCTACTGTTTTGTTTAACCAGGGGGCCTTGGTGCATCCATAATTCTTGGCGGTCAGCTAGAGCAACAAAAATACTTGGAGACGCTGGCGCTCTATTTGGACCCAATCTTCATGAGCGCATCCTTGAGCAGGTTTGTGAGGTGTTACCATGCTAAGACAGATGGTTGGCAAACTACAACATTCCACGCCAAGTGCGATGGAAAGGGACCCACTGTTACTATCATCAAAGTTAACGACTACATATTCGGTGGATACACGGACGTATCTTGGCATAGTGAGTATCATAAATAAAAAGATATTGAAATAGTTGTCGTAACTTATTGATTAATAATATACATGCAAAAATTTCACAGTGCTGATTGGCTGAGAGTAGGTCAATCTTTCCCAGCCAGTGCAGAAAGTTGAAATGGTATAAAAAAAGATGCAACTGAGGGCATACTGTTGAAATTAAATTGCATCTAATTAGTAACTGAGCGAATCAAATAATTTTTTTCGTGCAATTTGGAATAAGTAAGCACTTTTTCAAAGACTGCAAATGGCACCCGAACTTTTAGCCTTTGAAGAATTTTTGTGAATCTATCGTATCGTCTGATAGAATGGTTCCATTGATCCATCAAACAGCAAATAAGGAAAAGAGCTGGAAGTTCATCTGTCAGCCACTTTAAATTGATAGTCTGGAAAAATTTCTAAGATCCGCATGCGATGATGTCATCTCGATGTCTTTAGTCTTATTGACTATAGAAATATACCAATGAGCATGTAAAAATTTCGCAGTTGTTATTTGAATATGAATTTTGACAAGAAAAAAGAGCAAATTATCTTTGTTACAACTTGACGTAAAGACTGTTTAAGCTAAAATCAAAAATTAATATGCTGCCTCAGTACATGTACTTTTGATTTTTTTCTCCTATATGCAATGGTATTTAAATCTCCTTTAGCTCAATTAACTCTGCACAGTTTAATATTTTTTCGATGGTGAGGATAATATAAAAAGCTTTTTGCTTTGTGATATACTTTAATTTCAGGTTCTTGTAGCTACTCCTCTTCAGGCAAAGCTTTCATTTTCTCGCTCTACAACACCAATGGATACGATCCTGTCAAACTGATACAGTACCAATATCTTAACAAAGCCATGTACAGCTGTTCCAGTTATGGACCTACTTTCGGGGGAAACCTTGGTCAGCACGATATCTACACACCAAACGATGCTGTGAACAAAAAGAGAGCTTTCACCTACTGTGGCTCTACTTACTCTCCTCCCCCGGGGAACTCTGTTGGTTTTTGTTCATTCTTTGCTGGAGGCAGCCAATTTACTCCGACTGATATTGAAGTGTTTTACGAGACAACTTCTTAAGCGGAGATCCTCTTATTTCAAGTTTTTGGTCAATGTGAGGACGATCAAAAAAGCAGCCAAGCGACGAGCGGGGTCTGGGAGAGAAAACGGGAGAGGGCGACCCCGTTTTTTTTTTTCTGTCTCTCTCTCTCTCCCAAATCCCGCTCGTGGCCCTCTCGCTTTTTCGGCCGTCCCTAATGACCGAAAGACTGGAACAGGCTACTGATTATATTTTGACACTGCTGCTACTGCCGTGTTGTAGATTGTATTTACAGAAGACGTAAGTTGTCAAAAATAGGTATAGGCGAGTGCAACTAATAAGAATTTACAATACGCGTGATGTTTGAAAATGCTCTCAAAATTGGACGAGCCTTTAGGCGAGTGCAATTTGAAAAAATTTTCACACATCACGAGTAGTGTTCTCAGGCGTTCATTGCTCGATGCTTCATACGATTACGCGTTTGTCAATCACAGTGACGTCATTTTCTCTGTCATAAAATAAGTTACCAAATCACCATGACATATCCTTACCTGAACAAATATCGTATACACAACGACAATTAATTACACGACTTTTTGGTTCAAGCGTTAAGATCGTGTTGTATTCAACAAAATCCGGTGACATCACCGCTCAGACTGACTGAAAAAATCTAAATCGTTGAGACAGGCAGCTATATGCTAACAGTTTTCAATTTTACATGAATACTCTGATCCCTTTTCGTATTTAAAATTACTGTTGAATACAAACAACGTTAATACATTGATACAAGGTTGCTCTCGACCTAAAGTAAAACATTCGCAAATACTGGTGGAAAGGAGCCTGAATGAAGCAATAGGCAGAGCTGTAAACAAGTTATCTTGCAAATGGAATTTGTGAATATATAGGCTAACCATGCTTATATCCCGCGCTCATGGTGAACTCCAAACTGGACAACACTCTTTTTTTTTTTTATAAGAATATTGTTTATTCGACCGAGGCCGAATTATATTCTTATTTTTCTGCCGATTTAAGGCTGAAAATATCCTTGGGAATATTATTACAATATAGCGTATGAAATTTCTGTTTTCAAATGTATTTAGTGTCTTTATGGTATTAGATTGATCTCGGAGCCAGCCTGCAGACATCAGAGTATCGAATATACGGCTAGTGCTGTTTTTGCTGCTTTTTGCCTAGCTTTGTCGCTTAGAGAAGAAAGAATTTTATACGGCTTCGGTAAAAACATTTTGTTGTGTTGAGTTTACACATTTTTCAAATATTTTTTTCGAAATCTCAATGAGCCTCGGGTCTATTCCTAAAATATTCTTGAAATATCGCAAATTTCAGCCGGGACATTCTTATTAAACATATTCTTAAAAGAAATAAAGAGTGTAGTAATTGCTGGACCCTCAGTTGAGGTCCTTTGAGAAATACATTCAGCTCTGTACATTGATTTTTGCCCGGGGTTTTCGTTGGCTTGATTTACTGACAAATGTCAACTATAATTGCTAATATAATGCCTAGCATACAAACAAGCTAGACCGCAGCTAAAAATAATTTTTCGAGGGTATTTGAAGAAGACTAGTATCANTAATTACAGTTTCTGAATGACGATTATGAGCTCCCTCAGGCTGAAGACCTACTTTAATGGAAGTTTCCAGCTTTCAGTGTCCATTTTGACGAATATTTTCGCGATTTTTCTTCAACAGCTGCTCAAGATCCGTACGATATCGAGTCCAGTAAAACATAAACAAACGAAAACCACACAACAACAAATTCAGAGCCATCTCAAGTAAGTAGATGTTTCCAGGTTTCCGGAGTTTCAAACGAAGCAACAAAAGAGCTAAACTCGGTCGCTGTGAATAAACATAGTCAAAATACGCCCCGCTCCACAAACAGTGAATGAATGAACATCTTATGAAGCTGGTGCAAGTCCCGCCATCTTGGAAATACCTTGAAACAAATGGCGCCGCAAGAACTTGACAAGGTCCTGACAATAAAAGCGTGAAAAGGAAAACAGTGGGTACAAGACAGGCGACGGAATAAGGGACAGTAAGTTCACAGAAACAAGCTCGTAAAAGACTAAAAGTAACAAACCCAAGGAAAAGTTCCGTTGTACCAGTAAGGGTACTGGATTTGAATTTTCATAAACTGGACCAGGTGTACGCTTTTAGTTCAGTTCAGTGAAGGAATCGGGAACAGTGCAAGCAGCACAGACGAGAACTCCATCATCCGGCATAGGGTACAACACGTGAGGAGGATTCTTACGCAGACTGGGCTGAAATTAGATGCAGAGCTGCTATTTATACTCGCGTAGTAAGGGACTGGAGAGAATAGTTCCGCAGATGATATTCTATAATTTGATCGCCGGAGTAGAATGATGGATGCTCGAATTTCAAGGAGAATTTCAGGGGATTCACACAAAGAATGACGAACTTAAAATTGAATTATTTTCTAAACAATGGAAGTGAGAGGTACTTTTCAAACTCGTTAAAAATTCATCAAGTTTGAACAAAGGATATCACGACCGTGACCGTGTTTGGTTATATCAGTTTAATTAGCATAGATTTTTATGATTTTATTTCTCCGTTTTCTCCTTAGTTTTGGTTTCGATTGAGAAGATATATCAAACACTCAAGACAGTGTTTGACCACAATTCCAAACACCTCGAAGTTCGTCAAAAATACTCCGCTGCGCGTCGTATTTTCAACTCTCTTCTCGGTGTTTGGAAATGTGGTCAAAGACGATCTCTGGTGTTTGATATATTACACGAAAAGCGGTACTATCAACCAGATTGTAATGAGAGATATCAACTAGGTTATCTAAAAGATAATAATGCTGCGGCACATTCTTTTGATAGTGACATATTTTACGCAGTGATTCATCTACAACTTCATGCATGATAACCCATCGATGGCGAGGTGTGACAAGCGATCGTGACAAAAAAGGACAGTGATCTGAACTATACTTGGACATAAACGATACACATCAATCTCCCCTTTACCAGATCGCGAAAATCGAAACATTGGGAAATTGACGTTGGAGCAGTAATCTAACTTATAAATTCTGTACTAATACGCGTTAAATGTCTCTAGAATGTTGACAGACTGTGTCGAGGACGCGTCCATCGCGATGCGTGAAAATGCTAAAGCTTTAGCTTAAATTTCTGTTTGGATGAAAAGGAATAAATCGCAGCATATATGAAATTAGCGTGTTCTACGATTTTCGTTTGTCTTAATTATTCTACAAGCTTTAGTAGCGAAGATTTCTCTTCATTTAAGAATTTGGCCAAGGAGGCGAGACTGCTAAGAAATGACATACTAAGTTTAAAAATTGATCGTTCAGATTTAAACTTTCACCTACTGCATTAAGAACAAAAGCAAGAGTTGAAGCAAGAGCAAGAGTTGAAAGTCAGGCACAATCTCCTTCACATCGTTTTACAGGTGAATTAGAGCAAAACATAACCACTTATCTTTCTTACTGGAATCCACGCGAAAAGGACGACGGCTCGACGTCCTCGTGATGTTCGTGGCGCAACGCACTCTGGCAAAAATGGCGCAGTGCACTGTGGTTAAATGCAGTGCATTCTGGTAAAGAGTGATGAATTCGAGAATTCGTACTCCTTTCTATATATTCTTCTTAAATCCTGATTAGGTTGCTGCTCGCTCGCTCCGCTGAAACTAAGGACTGGCCAAGAACTACTTATTTTATTCATGCAACTTAAGTTATTCTAGGTAGCACCTATTGTACAAAACTTGTATATTGACTTGTATGTTTAAATTCACTCTAGTTGTAACTGACGAAACATGTATTTAAAACTGAAAAGAATTGTCTTTGATTTTAAATTCTATGAAATTGATTTGTTATTAGGGTTAGGTTTCAAGTCACTTATCACCTCGCACCGTGCTACCGTGTACAGTAGATGTTTAAGATTTGAGTAAGATTACAAGCAGCCACTAAGATCTTAACAATTACAATCATCAGTTAGTTCAAGACAAGAACAACGACAACGACAACAACCACAACAACAACAACAACAACAACGAAAGTCATTGGTTTGTCAAATATTTTATTTAGAAAGTTCATCAAGAATATTTACAAATGTACTCACCAGATTAGTTAAATGAAAAACCCATAATTATTTTTAAAGCAAGGTCATTTCTGATTTCAGTAATTATCATACCGTTTTAAAGACTTTTACACGGCATCCTTATAAGGCAGGTTTACCGTTTTGTTACTAGTAGGGTAGCTTGTTGGTTATAGTGTAGGCGAATCTCTGCCGACGTGATTGTTTACATTTTTCCGCGTCAACATACGACTTTGAGCGTAGAAGGCCTCATGCTAGACACGAATTGACTACAAACATTAAAAGAGCTTGTGAAACCTGGTAACTGGTGAAATGTTTGGCTCGTTGGGTGTAATATTCAAGGGGAAATTGGCTTTCACCAACTGCTGCGTTTCTGGGTGGCAAAAGTGCTAATGAGCTCATACGTTCTTTGTAAAATGTTGAGTTTTTAAACCCGCGTCGCACAAAAAGTATTCAATACATCAAGCTCAAATTCCTTGGAACAGATAATGTGTAAACAAGGGCTAAAGACTGACCATTACCACTAATTCGTTCGCGAAAACAGATCAACACGACGGATTCCGCCCTCTGTGGCGGTTCGGATGGAAAAATTCCGCCCGCTCAGTAGCTGCGAAAAAGATAACGGCAGATATCTATTCACCCTGTGTCAGTACAGTGAAGGATGATGGCGAATGTGACACTCAACAATAGGCAGCCTTTAGTAATGCCGTATCCTGTACATATTTTTCTTGCAGTTTTGAAACTCTTTTTCTTTTACAGTTCTCCTGAAAATCATCATCTTTTTAGAGTGTTGTTCTACTTTAAAAATTACTATTTTCCTAAATTCGTTACCTTTCTGCGCAAACATTTTTCCCTTGGCGGGTATCAAATTTCAAACATGCTTGATCGCGTATTTACAAATCGGATAAATATTTTACACGTGCACTGACTGGCAGTCAGTGATATCAAATATATCCACCTCTGCAAACATTCAAACATTTGAAAGTGTCATATTATACCATTTATTTCTGTTTTTCCTTGTTTTGTTGTTGTTTTTTTTTTTGTCACTCGAGCAGAGCTCAACTTTTACCTCAACGTAAAATGTATGCGTCTATGTATCTTGTGCTGTATGTGTCATTGAGGTCGAGAACGAAAGAATGGTGACGCCAGTCGCTTGAGACTCAACGGAAGGATGAACCACTCCGTTTCGAAGATGACAGCAATTACAACTAGGAAACAATGAAAACAGTGCTTGGCGATAATTCGGCATTCTGAGACAATAAATGAAAAAGTTCAGAACCGAGTTACTAAACTGAAGAAGCTTGATTACAAAGACAACTGCAAGAGACACGTTGTTACATGTGGCGCACTTGACAATCACAATTACCAGGATTTGGAATGGCATCCAAGTCAACATAAACATTCCTGTTACAAGAAGCACCGTCTTAGCCAGCCTTGCCTCACTCCTCGCTCTGAAAGAGTGATAGAGGCGCGAGGCTTCCTTTCTCCAAATGACGCAATAGGCAATGCACATTATCACCAGAGGACTTGATAGGCTCATTATGATGACAGACAAGAACTGATGGACGTCTATGATGGCCAACCCTAGCAGCACTCGAGATGATGTTACAGCGACGGAGAGGATCCAAGGCGTTGCTATGGCAATGAAGTAGCTGTGCAATGTCAACTGTCGGTGACGAAGTGGTTGAGTTATGGCGTTAAGTCTTTCAAGGGAAATGAAGACCAATGTAAACACTGAGGAAAAGCCAGTGTACATATCAACGCAATCAAAAACAAGTGAAGACAGCAGCGTCTGTCGAGTGAACCACATGACCATGTACATTGGTATGGAAAATAGTCCGACCAGAAGGTCTGCTATGGCCAGACTGATCAGCAAGAAATGAGGACGTTTGCGAAGCCTTCGCTTCAAGAGAATCAGAATGGAAAGACAGTTTCCGAACACGATTATGATGGCCATCACTCCAAAACAAACACTCCATAAGATATTCCAATCGTTGAAGTCCATTTTGGATGCCCTTATAAACGCATCCCTGAATTAATTGAAAGAACTGGTGAGCAATTGAGATTTATGTAACGTCACTCACTTAGAAGATAAATAATCCTCTGCAAGAGAGGGACAAAGAACTCTAGTACAAGAGGGGTGTATTTTGGGTGTTAAAATCAGCATTGGTATCCTAATTTGACACAACCACACAATGTGACGTTATCTGTCAGTCAAGGAGTTCTGGATTGATTGATCAATCAGTGAGTAAGGAAATCTTAGCTGCTGCTTGAACAAATAAATTCATCTCCTTTTTGAGTTATTTTTTTGTAAAAAAAATACCTCTTAGTCGGCGCGTCGGGTATGTTATGGACGGGTCAATGGGTGAGNTTTGGGTGTTAAAATCAGCATTGGTATCCTAATTTGACACAACCACACAATGTGACGTTATCTGTCAGTCAAGGAGTTCTGGATTGATTGATCAATCAGTGAGTAAGGGAATCTTAGCTGCTGCTTGAGCAGATAAATTTATCTCCTTTTTCAGGTTCGTACGCGCATCATTGACGGTCAACGAGACTACAATGACAGTAATTTGAAATGACGAGAAGTAAGCTCTTCAGTATCAGCCAATTACTCAATGAAACAATCCGTCAACTAATCAGTCAGTCAGTCAGTCAGTCAGTCAATCGATCAATCAGTCAAAAAGTAAACGGATCAATCATTCAATAAATAAATCAATCGCACTGTCGATCAATCAACAGTCAATCAGTCGCATAATCAAATTCAAAAGTTTGATTATTCGACAGGTATATCAAGTTTCATATTACGTCTTGTCCACACATATTTTAAGCACCCATGAATACTTCTATCTCCAAAACTTCACAGGAAAAAAATAACTCTTGCACGCCTTGCGTGCCTATGTTTCAGGTTCGTACGCGCATCATTGACGGTCAACGAGACTACAATGACAGTAATTTGAAATGACGAGAAGTAAGCTCTTCAGTGCCAGCCAATTACTCAATGAAACAATCAGTCAACTAATCAATCAGTCAGTCAGTCAGTCAATCGATCAATCAGTCAAAAAGTAAACAGATCAATCATTCAATAAATAAATCAATCACACTGTCGATCAATCAACAGTCAATCAGTCGGATAATCAAATTCAAAATTTTGGTTATTCGACAGGTAGATCAAGTTTCATATTACGTCTTGTCCTCACATATTTTAAGCACCCAATGAAATCATAACGTCTAGCATAAATTGATGTCGATAATTTTCTTCTGTAAATTAGTGGTGGGGATAGGCTAGGAATGTAAAGGATCCAAAGGGGGTTTGACAACTTTGGTGAACAAGAGAAGGCCCATCCATACCCCCATTATAACAAATCCTGCCTCTTTTTAAGTGCCCCTGGATCTGGGTTACAATAGATAATCCCCGTGAACCAGAGCAATTTTGCCTCGAGCGTGATCTACAAAAGGAACTTCATCCCGAAACTCGTGTAGTTTCGTCAAAAATTAATTCCTGATGCTATTTCCAAGCAATTACAGCACGCCCACTAAAGGATTTCTGTAATGCCCGAATTTAGAAAAACCTACGAGTGGGAGTTCTTCCGCTATACTGNGGGGGTTTGACACCTTTGGTGAACAAGAGAAGGCCCATCCTTACCCCCACTATAACAAATCCTGCCTCTTTTTAAGTGCCCCTGGATCTGGGCTACAATAGATAATTCCCGTCAACCAGAGCAATTTTGCCTCGAGTGTGATCTACAAAAAGAACTTTATCCCGAAACTCGTGTAGTTTCGTCAATTCTTGGTGCTATTTCTAAGCAATTACAGCACGCCCACAAAAGGATTTCTGTAATGCCTGAATTTAGAAAGACCTACGAGTGGGAGTTCTTCCGCTATACTGAATCGCTTGCCGTAAAACGTACAGATATTTGAAGCGGCGCATGTTTGTAATTCACGACATCGTTTTCCTTAAACTAAAAGTTCTCAATTTCATACGTAACATGGAGAACAAGCTTGCAGGGTTTGTAAGCTGGATTATACGTCTTCGATGTTCTATCTCCGTGTTTGTTCGAGCAAGCCTTTCGAAATGTGATGCGTATGTATATGTTCGTTAGGGATTTCTATACAAATATCTTGCCAGTCTTATTTAAGAAAAATGTGCCAAAGGTTACCTTCTTTGAGAGACTTGTATTCAGCTTTTACAGATTTCTGCCATCTCACAACGCCAAAAAGTGTTACGACCATTGATGTTTCTGTCGTAGTTTCGGCGACTTAACCAGCTTGAATTGGCTTGCGAGACTGCTACAGACTAAATCTATAATCACTAGTCAGCATAGGTTGACATTTTTCGTTTACTTAGCCAAGCCAAATATTGTCCCTCGTTTGTTAAGTTAAATTATTTATGTCATTGTTTTAGATGTGACCGCAAGTATGCGTTTTGTGTAGAGTAAACACGTCTCTTGTGCGTTCATCAACGCAGTATTTTTTCCTTTCTTTAATTTTTCATTATTTTAGTATTATTTTTAAAGCAAATGATCACGAAAGAAACTAAAATCTGGATTGTGATACAGTTAATAAGTCACACGAAACATCTTGGATGGCGATGGACCACTGCACGTAAGCTTTCTATTTACGCAATTTGGCAATAAACACAAAGCTGGCAGATAAAACGAAATCTCACAACCTAATTTGGGGTTTTAGCTGGACATTTCAGGATGTCGTTCTTGGGTTTACATAAGAAAAAAAAGAACATCGAATATATTTATAGCAAAGAGACATTCACTTCATTGAAGTCAGCCGAAATTGCTAAAAAATTGCAAAACAAGGAAGAAAACCGAACAAACAATCAAACTGGATTCAAAAGAAGTTTTGTTGACTTCCGCACGCAATCTAATTTGTATAGGGTTCCACAAATGCCTTGATCTATAGTACACGTAGATGTTCCTGATTAAACACAGAACACTTAGGTTGTGTGAGTAATCATCACAGTTCAAACACAGGAGCAGGGTGCCAAAACAGGAGCAGACAAAACAAGAGCAGGGTGCCATCAAGAGAACAAAAAATGCCCTTTGGGTGAAAATGGTCTGCAAACCTCTATTTAACTGCAACAGCAAAATACAGGGACAAATCCGAGGGGCAGCTGAAAGGGCAAACAACGTTAAACCTTGTTGAAATAAATGAATATCTGCGACAATTGCAAGCAAGAATGCTTAAACAACGAACTTAATTTTGATATACGTTTTCTTCATATTTGCCCAGGCCCTATGTATAATAATTTGTTCTTTGTGTGTTTATTTCTGTGACATTTTATTCAAACATGTTTTCTTTTTCTGTATTATTGCATAAATAGCAATATAAGTATAGGTCAAAAAGCAGAAATTGGTAGACGCGTTTTTTTTTT